GGCTCGGAGTCCCGGCACCCACAGTGTTTTAGAAGTTCTGCAGGTAATCCTAAGGGTGACAGTGTTAGTTAGCAGCATTAGTAAGAAGCCCGAAGGATGAGACTTAAAGGCCTGACATCTGTCCTGAAGGACTTAGGAGCACACCGTGAGGATGGTAAGAGTGAGCCGTTGAGTGTATACTAGCACACCATGAGGATGGGAGACCTGCAGGGTACCCCTGCTCATTGGAGCATCAAGCAGCTTCAGAACACTGTCGCCTGGGGGATCTGGTGCGGACACTGGTACGAGAACAGATCAGTGTGGGAGGTCTAGCCATTTGGTTAGTTAACTGAATCTCTCAGTCCCCTGTTGATCTGGGGGATCTGGGTGGAGACTGGTACAGAACAGGATCAGTATGGGAGGTCCAGCCGTTTGGCTGGTTAACTGGCGCTCTCGGTCCCCTGTTGATGAATACCAACTGTCTTCTCATTTTTGTGTCGAGTCTCAGGTGCTTGCTGACTAGCACTTTGGAGAGTGCGTGCTTATCTGGCACGTCCATAACAGAAGGAACTGCGTGTTCCCTTTCTGCAGCACTGGGAAGCAATTTCCCCCCTTTAGCTGGTGCAGTACAATAAGCTTTATCATGAATTAATAATAGCATTAGGTAAGAGTGACTTTAAATCCAGACTAAAACTAGGGTGGGGGAAAAACAAGACTCCATTAGAAAATAGTGAAACTTCTTCAGTTTGCCTTAAAGGGTTTTAAGAATTGTCCTGTCTTTTTTATGTAACACAATAAAGTAAGAAGATTTTTTGTTTGCTTACAAAAACCTATACTTCTAGTGGCCTAAATGGAATTCAGGAGAATATTTGGAAAATTTAGTTTATTTCTTTATTCTTTTAAGATTTATCTGTCTTGAAACCTGAAAAGGGGTTTGTTTTCTTGTTCTGAGGATTCCTGGTGCTTTTCTTCACATGGACTCAGCAGTACTGTTAGGAGCCGTCCTCTGAGCTTTATAGTACTTGCATTTCCTTAAAGACTGAATAAGTTCCTTTGTCAAGTTGGCACTTACAGAGCCAACAAATTGGCACGTGGGGATTTGTTACTTATTTGAATAGCAAGCCAAGTTTTTTTACCTTTTATTTTTAGCTTAATTATTTTTCTTTTGAGAATTTTATATATGAATACTTATTTACGTCATTTCCCTTTTAATTCCTTCTGTGTCCCCTTCTAAATCCATGCCCTTATTCTTTAATTGTTATTGTTATGTGTTTGTATGTATAAATTTATAAATATAACCTTCCGAGGTCGTGTACCTTTGCTTACATGTGTGTCTGGGTCCCCTCTGCGTACAGAACCCATAGAGGCCAGAAGAGAGTGTCGGATGTACTAGATCTGAGTTATAGATGGTTGTGAGCTACCTTGTGGGTGCTAGGAATCGAGCCTCAGTCCTCAGGTGCTCTTAACCACAAAGACATCTCTCCAGCCTTCCAGTTAAATAATTTTTAGAGAAATATCCCATAAATAATATACGCCTCCCATTCGGCACCATGAAAGCATTCATCTAATTGTTGCTGCAGTGGACTTTGGTTGTGACACATGTCACCTATTAAAAGGCTATTGCTTAGATGGGATTTCTGTTCACACTCATGACCCCGTTTGACCAAGTAATTCTTATGTAATCCCAGACATGCGGGCATATTAAATCGGTGTAAAAACTGAACATTTATTGATAATAAATCAGTAATAGTTTATTGTAAAACTTCTTTGTGTATATATATATATACACATATACGTACATATAGACATATATGTATTTGGTGGGGGGTGGTTCAAGGCAGGATTACATCTCTGGCTGTTCTGGAACTCACTTTGTGGACCAGATTGCCCTTGAACTCACAGAAATCCACTTTCCTCTGCCTCCCGAGTGCTGGAATTAAAGGTGTGCGCCACCTTCGCCCAGCTGGTATACATGTATTTTTACTGTTTGTTAAAGATGAAAGCAGATATGCATGCCAACAGATGGTCATGTACATTTGTTGTACAGTCAGACTCAAAGATAGACTAATTTGATATTCCGTGCCAAGAAATGACAGTAGAAAGGTGGTAGGTGCTCATTGTACGTCATTAACCCACGATGTTTCTATAAGATAGAAAACAATATTACAGCAAACACACTGATGCTTATAGCACGCAGTAGCCTGCATTCTGAGCTTGGTGTGATGGCATGCACAGTCAGCTGCACATGTGTGCTCAGAACCAAGACCTCAGAGTTCCGTAATGTAGCATGGCCAGCACTGCCAGACAGCTTGGATTCCTTGAATTGATTTTTGAATGAACTTTGGGCCATTGTGCATTCAGAAACAATTACTGCTGGTTTTTCTCTACCTGGTGTGAGAACACCACTCATGTTTTGGTTTTGATACACATCACCTGTTAAAGGGTTTATGTCACCTGTGTTGGGAAACCTTTCAGCTGTGTTGGGAAGGGCCCCTCTCCTTCCCTGGTATCTAGGGTGGTGATGGAGACCAATTTCTCAAGAATTTTTCACGTAGTAGTTTTAATTTCTCAAGTGCTTTGATCGAGGTCTGTGTATCTGTGAGAACCTCAGAAACGTACTTCCATGAATACTGACCATAACCTGCTCCCTGCAGATGCATGCAGGGCCATCTCTCTCTGCTGTTAGGTACTTCACACAAGTTTCTGCGCGTCAGAAAATACGTCACGAGCATTGGGTTTCCCGAAGCTTGTCTGGTTTTTCTTATTATCTAGTCCAGCATCATGTAGACTGGGTTCTTAACTTTCGTTGTTTGTTTGAGAACAGTTTGTTCTAGCTTTCACTTACCCTGAGCCAAACACTTGGACCTTTTATTCTGGAATAAACTGTGCTAGGAAATCCAGAGTGGGGGGTTGGCCCTCGGGTTTCGGTGCTCTTTCTGAAGATCTTTCAGCACAGCAAGTTTCTCACGATGGAAAAAGCTTAGTTTGTTTGGAAAGGAGTTAAAATACTGTATTTCAGTTGTCTGGTCAGTAGTTGTAGCGGTAGAATGGTCTTTCACAGGATAGAAGTTGTTTTGTTTGGTTTTGACTGTAAACAGAGGACCCAGGGTCTGTTCTTACCCTAATGTGGAAGTGGTCAGTTCTCAGCTGGGTTTGTAGTGTCTTTAACCTCAGGCCTCAGGAGGCCGAAGCAAGAGAATGTCAGATTGAGGCCAGTCTGGGCTACATAAGAACCTGTTCCGGGAAATAACTGGTAATTCTTCATTTTCCCTGCTCAGTTATGGAGCAGTATAAAATTAATCAAAGCAGTAGAAAGTGTGTTTTGCTTATCCTATTGATGATTGATAATATTTTTTTTGGCCTTGCATTAATGTGAGATGTCCTTCTGTATATGTGTTGCTCTTACTGGTTAATGAATAAAGCTGCTTTGGTCTGTGGCAGGGCAGAATAGAGCCAGGCTGGAAGAGATAGAGAGAGGAGGCAGAGTCAAGGATGCCATGTAGCTACCCAAGAAGCAAGAGGTAACAAAACCACGAGACTTGTGGTAAAATACACAGATTAATAGAAATGGGTTAATTTGAGATATAAGGCACCTAAGCCATCGGCCAAACAGTGTAATTAATATAGTTTCTGAGCCAGAAATGAATGAGCAGTCTCTGTTCACATTGCATGAAGAAGTGTCGGGTGACATTAGCAGTAAGAGCTGCTCATGTAGACAGGATGGTGGCACATACCTTTAGCCCCAGCACTCGGAGGCAGAGACAGGTGGATCTCCATGAGTTCAGAGGCCAGCCTGGACTACAGAGCTAGTTCTAGGACAGCCAGAGCTGTTAACGCAGAGAAGCCCTGTCTTTGGGAAAGAGGGGAAAAGAGTGAATCGTGCATTTAAAAATATGTAATCTACCACTTAATTCAGATCTCTTTGTGAGAGTAGTCTTTATTCTGATCGCACTTCTCTGCACAAAGGTTAGAGTAGCCCAAGTAGGAGCAGGAGGAGACCTCAGGGCTCTGTAATATGAGCGATGCGTAACCGTGTTCCCCAAGACCCTTTAACTCTACCAGGAATGCCTCATAAATAAAACATTCAGTCAGAGCTAAGGAAGGGTAAGACATGGGCAGAGTGACTCACTCGTAGGCAGTGGAGCTGGCGTGTGGGGGAAGAAGAAAGAGCTATCAAATCAGTGGTGCAGGAAAGCCCTGGGCTGGCTCTGGGAAAGGACTTGATCAGTTTGCTCTGTGTGGTGTATGCAGAGAATAGCAGAGGCTAGATCTGGAAGACAGGTTAGAGTTATTATTAAAAACACCTAGAGCGATAGGGGAAAGGGAACTTTGTTCTCTCCTTTTTGTGTGTGGGGGGTGATTTTGTTTTGATTTTCCTTTTTTCTTTTTTTCTTTTCTTTTTTTTCCCCCTTGATATGGTATCTTAGTTCCCAGGCTAATCTGGAACTCAGGTTGGCCTTGACTTTGCAACCCTCCTGCCTCTTCCTCTGAGTTCTAGGATTATAGGCCTGAGTCACCACTCCCAGCCCCTAAAACCTTCTCCTGTAGCTGTCAGAAGTGAGCGGTGGAAAGTGTAGTCTTCCAGAAGGTTCAGCGGTGACAAGTGCTTGTGTTCTTGATCTTGATGAACCTTGGATCTCTGCTGTTTCTTAACCTCAGTGATTTTAGCAGAGCGCCCGAGAAGCTCTTAGTTCTCTAGAAAGAGTAAGGCTGTAGGAGAAGGATACTGTAACGTTCTGAGAGGGCAGCTTCTCCCTGCGGGTTGTCTGAAGGAGTATAATTACCAGCAGACCCGGCTTGTACTACCCTCTAATCTAGGACCAGCGCTAGACGGGAAATGGAAGAACTGGGTGATGTTTTACTGACCTGTCTGATGACATCAGGCCGTGCGCGCAGCGGATACTTTGTTATTATTTCTGGTGTTTTAACTCTATTAGCCTTATGTAAGCTCAGTTCTGGGGGTTTTTCAGGCGCATTAAGAAATGATACTTTCACTGCAGAAAATACCTTTCTTTTGGCAGGTTTTCTTATAAGAGACAATGACTACTGATGAAGGCACCAGTAACAATGGAGAAAACCCAACAGCCACAGTGCTTGAGCAGGGAGAAGATATTACTACCAAAAAAGATAGAGGAGTACTGAAGGTAAGGCACAGAGGAGCATAGCGAGGGAGCCCTGCTCTGCGGGAGGGGGAGGGAGCGTTTACCTAGCCTTTTTGTGGAGGGGAAGGCTGCCTGGTGTTCTCTTTTTAACTAAGGCAAAGTAGTAAACCGTACAGCTCAATTCTCGCCTTTCTTCATAATGGGGACTGTTAATCTCAGCTGAGCTGAGGCTGGTCTGGGTCACACACATCTTAGGTCCTGGAGAACAGCCCAAGTTACGCTTGATTCCAAGAGACTGCATCCTCTCCTTACTTTAGAGCATGCATGTGGATGGAGTGCTGTCTTAACTACTGTTCTAGTGTACTGAAGAATTTATAGAGGAGAAACAGGGGACTTAGCTTTATATACAGGTACTGTTTCTATGTGTCATGATGTAGGAGCACAGGCTGTATGTTTGAGTCATCTTTCCTATTAAAGCACAATAAATACTATTTCATTTTGTGTGTGTGTGTGTGACATGCTTGTGTGCACGAGTTTTCATTGTGTGTGTGTGTTACATGCTTGTGTGCACGTGTGCTTGCCCTCTGTCAGGATATCTTTCTCAGTCACTTCTCCACTTCATCACTCCTGGAGGCCACTGTTTTGGTAAGACTGCGTAGCCAGCAAGCCTGTGGGTTGCGGACGCCCTCTGTCGTGAATAGGTTTTCACACAGGCCCTAGGAATCTGAACCTGGGTTCTCCTGCTTGCTCAGCACGTACTTGACCTGTGAACTATCTCCTCAGACTCTCATAGATTTTAGTCTGCATCTCAGCAGCTGTGTTCTGGAGGCATTACCCTTGTGATGATGTTATTCTGGGGGTGGTACTTAGGGCCAGAAGACATCACCAGCTTTGTATTTTTGAGACAAGGTCTCACTAAGTTGCCCAGGCTGCCCTTGAATTCACACTATAACCCAGGCAGATCTTGAGTCTCCTTAGTAATTGGGATTCCAAGACTGTGCCAGCAGAGTGGGCCAAATTCTCCCATTTTATAGGAGAATGAGCAGAAACCAAGAGGTGAAGTGACTTGAACACATCCGGCATTTGCTTGTCCCACACAGTCATCACACATGCTTTATGTAGTTAATTTTCTCTGATGAGCTTATCTTGCATATTCTCCATGTTCCTGTCGTGTGGAAGTTCAGCTGCTCCTGTGTCAACGCTGCTGGTTGGTCCTGTCTCTCCTTGCTTATGTGGACACTTGTCTTCTGTGCTGGTCCCCTGAACCTCCACGTGTTCCTGTGTCTACTCTCTGCTGCCAGCCCGTGCTGTCTTCTTCCTAAGGCTTCCCCTCCAGAGCTCTAAGAAACTTCTCAAGACGCTGGAGACTTCTCAGGCTGTCCACAGCATCTCCCTTATTTTTTTTCAGTGTGCCACATTCAGAGACCTGGCTTCCAGGTCCCTCAGACCCTGTGTATTCTGTAACAGAATCCTGGGTGATTCATAAAAGAGCCGTTTATTTTGGCTCCCAGGGCTCAAGCCTGAGAAGTCCAAGAACTCGGCACGCCTGTGTCTCCTTGTTCACTGTAGAAAGCAGAGGGCAGGCGGGCAGTCTGGGAGGCACAACAAGAAGCAGTCAAGCTTTCTACAACTTACGTGATGAACCCGGTCCTTCCGCCGGGAGATCACACAAGCAAAGCATTGATTCCACCTAAACTACTTCCCTCTTGAAGTCCTCGTGTCCCAACACTGGCTCAGTATCAATCAGATTTCAACATAGTCTTTAGAGAGGACAGATTGCGTTCATGCTTTCTTCAGACCACAGTATTCCTCCACTGGAGGTGCACATTGCTGCCTAGCCTGCTCAGAGCCCACTAAATAAACAGACAGTAGACTATAGTCTCCTTTGTTCTAGGGAATAAATCTAAAGCCAGAAAGTTTTAGTCTTAATATGAATGTTTGTGGTTTGATGAGCTTTAGGTCATAACATCTGTTACTGTCTAGATTCTCCAAGTCACCATGAGGATTTTGGTGAAAACTCAGGGGTCTGGCAACTATTACCTGGAGCATTTGTTAACATCCTCTATTTGTAAAATTTATAGTAATACTAATCAAGAAAAATAAAAGTTAGGTTTGTAGTGCAGGAGAATTGTCTGTATTCTGTCAATCGTGTATTTTAATAAAATGCTGATTGGCCAGGCAGGCAGTATAGGCGGGAAAGCCAGACAGGAAGTGGAGGTGGAGCAAAGAGACTGGGAGTATTCTAGGAAGCTCCCTCTGCCAGTTCTGCCCAGACCACTGGAGAGGAAAGATGTAAGCTGCCCAGCTGAGAAAGGTACTGAGCCGTGTGGTTAACATAGAGTAGAATTATGGGTTACCGTAAGATGTAAGAATTAGTTAATAAGAAGACTGACCTAATGGGCCAATCAGTTTATAATCTTATGGAGTCTTGTGAGTGATTTTCTTTGGGACTTGCCGGCTGTGGGGTACCGGGTGAGACAGATACCCCAACAAGCCAGGCCCGTCATGTTACAGGTTTGCATTTTTTCAAATTAATTCAGACTAAATTTTTATCTTTAAGACAACGTTAGACTTAAGCACAAGTTTCATCTTGCTGGGGAGACAGACAGACAGATACACACACACGCATACCGTACCACCTGCTCTGGAATGATGCTTTCGTATCTGTTGTTTCCATTGCAGCTGGCCTCTGACTCCCACAATGCATCCCACATGCCTGGGGATTCTTAATAGTCCTCAGGTGCAAATCCCCACCCATGACTGCCACTGGGCCCTAGTGTCACATGCAAGTTGGTACCAGAGCCTCTTAAGCATTTCAAATAGGTTTTTTAAAATTACTCTTTTGAATTTTTTTCTTTTAAGGCCTGGAAGAAGCTGTGTGATAATGCATACATTTAATCCCACAGGGAGGCAGAGGAAGGATCTCTGTGAGTTGGAGCCGAGAAGTTCCAGGACAGCTAAGACAACATAGAGAAACCCTACCTTGAAAAACCAAACAGAGAGAAAGGCCTGGAAGAGCAATATTGCTTTTTTTCCTTTAGAAAATATTTGAGCCTACTGGTCGGTGGTGGTGGTGCATGCCTGTAATCCCAGCACTCTGGAGGCAGAGACAGGAGAGTTCTGTGAGTTCCAGACTAGCCTGGTCTCCAAAGCGAGTTCCAGGACTGCCAGGGCTACGAGGAGAAACCCTGACTCAAACAAAACAAAACAAAACAAAAGATTGGGCATTTGAGCTGAGAAAGTTGAGAAATCTTAAGTTCACAGTGTTTATGTGGGGTGGGGCTGCAGAGACACATCTCCAAGAATTTAAAAGCAAGTAATTATTTACATGAAAATCAAACTCTTCCCAAAGAGGATGTTATCAGGTATTAACTGCTTGCTATCTTAGGTACTGCTGAAAATGACCCTGGATGATTGACAGGCTAAGTTGCACCACCACACTCCAGGAATGAATTTTCTTTTCCAAGAATTGATCAGCTGCATTAGAATAAAAGAAATATTCTGGATTTTACAATGACCAAATATTTTTCATTTTGGAGTTATTTTTCTTTTTCTTCTTTTTTTTTTTTTAAAAAAACTAGAAAACAAGTTCCTTGGTATCATCCAAGTCTAGATTTTACAGATTGTTTAAATAATGGAAATGTGACCTGTTACATTGGGGAATAGCAGAGTAGAGTCATGATCTATCTTTAGCAAAGGGGGAAGTAAGTAAGCCAATCTTTGAAGCTTTGCTGTGGCTGTCTAAGTGGCTGTTGAAGAGGTGTTGCACGCTGTGGCCTAGTTCAGTTTGTGTACGTTTAGCCTGCCCATCCATCCGTATCTTAGGAGATTTTAACATCAGAGTGTGGAGCATTGAGCTAGCCAGCTGAGGTACCTGGTTAATTCTGTTTTGTCTGAGATGAGGTTTCACAGTACGTCCTAGCTGGCCCAGAGCTTACCTTGTAGACCAGGGTGTCTCCTGCAGGGATCCATTCACCCCTGCACCTGCCTGGTTATTGTGAGAGACTGCTGCAGTAGTAGTAATAGTGACTGTAACGTGAAGGGTTAGGGGCAGACTTTTTCCAAAAGAGCAATGAAGAAAGCCTCAAGGAACGAGAGGGAATTTGCACATCTGTCTGGGCACCGTGGAGTAGCCCATGTGGTCTTTTAATCCTTTTACAAGTTAAAAGCTCTACATTTTCCCTGTGTGTTTGTGTTTTCCAGATTGTCAAAAGAGTGGGGAGCAGTGATGAGGCCCCGATGATTGGCGACAGGGTCTATGTCCACTACAAAGGAAAGCTGTCAAACGGGAAGAAGTTTGATTCCAGCCATGATAGAAATGAGCCGTTTGTCTTTAGCCTGGGCAAAGGTAAGAGGCAATTTTTGCAGTGTTGTTTAGATTTGTTTCTGTTTGTATTCTGTAGAAGCAGTGAAGCGTGTCTCTGGCGAGTGTGGCCCACAGATCCCCAGGAGTCTCTGAGATCCTTTGGGATCTGTGATAACGGTTCTTTTCGTGACAGTGCGAAGAGGATGTCTTTACAGCTGACATATGTGCACTGACAGACTAGCGCCTTCGGAGGCACAAACCCCTGGTGCCTCAGTGTGAGCATGGCAGAGACAGCTGTCTCCGCCAGCAGTCACTGTGTTATCTCTGCCTCTCCCTCACTGTTCATACCGAGGGGGCTGTCAGTTAGCAAACCCAGCCTGCGAGCCACATGGTGCTGCTGCAGTGTGGAAGAGCGGCAGGAGCAGAGCCCTTGTGTGCACGCCCATCATCAGGGAGCCTCTACACTTGCAGTTGGGAACTGGAGAGCTCCGTGTTTCCGTGAAACCCCAGCTATACGTGAAAGGGCGGACTGTGATTATTCAGACTTAGCAGGCATTTCCTGACATGGAATGGGGTAGACCTGCCACTCTAAGGAAGACAGCTGACAGTGTTTGTCGCTGCCTTTTCACGTAAAAGGTTTTTAGAATTGGTGTCTGCTGTGTGCTTGCAGCTTCACGAAACGTAAGCCTTTTCTGTGAGGGAGCCATGGGGTGAGCGAGCAGTTTTCTGCGGGACAGTGAAATTGGTCACCACTGGAATATCTTCCTTACTCGGCCAGACGCATAAGGTCAAGTGTGCACAGCAGTGCATTCAAAGTACACGCTGGGCGGGTGGTGTTGGCACAACACAGTCTGAAAGGACCTTTGATAAGCTCTCAGGTGCCACATTGCAGATGACCTTTTGAACCTCCTGTCTACTTTTGACACAGTCACCTGAGAAGTCTGTGACCCCGCTTTTCTACCATTTCCTAGCTCCCTGAAGATGTGGGAAAAGTACAAACTGACAGAAGTAAACAAATGAATTCATCTTGGCCTATAGTAAATGAAACACAGTTCACTTTTATATCGCTAGAAATGACCGCTCGGGGCTGGGGTGTTCTTCAGTTGTTAGAGTGCTCCCCTAGCATCCAGCTAGCCTGCGTTTGATCCTTTGTATAGTGGTATAGGCCCGGGATCCCGGCACTTGGGAGACTGGAGGCAGGAGGGTCAGAAGCAGTGTGGTCTCAGTTGACCGTAGAACAAAGAAACACAAGCCAGGCGTCCAGACACTCGTCTCAGCGGCTGGGAGGTGTCATAGTCAGGGTTTCTGTTGCTGTGATGAACACCATGACCAAAGCGAAGAGTGGGGGAAAGAGTTGACTTGGCCTACACTTCCATATTGTCGTCCATCACTCAAGGAAGCCAGGACAGAAAGTGAAGCAGGGCAGGAGCCTGGAGGCAGGGGCTGATATAGAGGCCATGGAGAATGTTGCTTACTGGCTTGCTCTTCATGACCTGCTCAGCCTGCTTTCTTACAGAACCCAGGACCCCAGCCCAGGGATGCCCCCACCCAGAGTGGGCTGCACCCTCCCCCGTAGATCCCTAATTAAGAAAATGCCCTATAGGCCTGCTTACAGCCTGATGTTATGGAGACATTTTCTTAATTTCTCCCTCCTCTCAGATGACTCTAGCTTTGGTCAAGTTGATATAAAACTGCCCAGCACTGGAGGCATGTTAAGACTGTAAGTTCAAGGCTGAGTTGGACTTCACAGCAAGACCCTTTCTCAGAAAAAGAGAAAAAAGTAGCCAGGCTATTTAGATTTTATATTAATGTTTTCTAACAGTAGTTACTTCAAGATAAAAACTAATTTAAACTAGAAGTAGTATACATACCGTCTCTGGAGCTCACTGATCTTTATAGTATTCCTTTCCCAAGGAAATGCATAGAGATATTCCAAAAAGAAGTTCCATGCTACTTTGGGGAATCTAGATTGACTTTAGTATTTTGTTTTGTTTTGAGACTTAATCTTCTCTACGTAGCTCTGCCTGTCCTAGAACTCGCTCTGTAGGTCTGCCTGCCTTTGCCTCCTGAGTGCTGGGATTAAAGGCGCGCACCACCACACCCTTCTGGACGTTAGTATTTAAATAGAACTGTTATGAGCCTGACTGTAAAAACTTTATTGAAAAATTCACGGACAGCAGAGTGCTGCGCTTCTACACTGCTCACGTGCCCTTGGCTCTTCTGTAGGCTTTTAGACTCTTTCATCATCTCCTGGTGACTGGATAACTGTTTTATTACTGTAGACTATGGTGTAATGTTGAGATGGAAACAATGCATGTCTTTGCGTAGATCTGCCTAACGTCGTGCGCGCTTAGGTGTTTATTATTGTTATTGCATCAGAAGATTACTGGCTGGCCTTAAAGTTTTCACTGCAGTCACAATAAAAATCATTGTAATGTCTCATGTCGTAACTGCTTACCGTGCAGGCATATAAACCTTCGGAGACAATGCTTAGCCAGCCTCTTTGTCCCGGGATGTTGGGAAAGAAACTGAACCAGTCTATGAACTGGTTGTCACCACTGTGAAGTGTGTTACAGGATAGGAAGGGGGACAGTTTCCCTTGTGTGTTTATTGTTATTTTGTTTGGGTGGTGGTATTCAAATTCATTCTTTCTCAGAAGCATTCTTCCTTGACTGTAAAGTACCAAGTAAAACAAAGCAAGTGCTTTCTTAAAGCGTCTATCCACGTCACAGTTCGGGGGTTAGAAAAATTAAATGTCCAGTTTCCCCAACATTGTTATTATTTGAAAGATTTTTTTTAAACATTGTTTGTTGCTCCCTTGTTACAAATCACTAAGTGTACAGCTTTTAAATGTATCCCTACATTTAAAGTGCGAGTATGTTTAGAATCTGATAGCATGAAAGTGCTTTTGTTCATGTGTGAGGAGACGGAAGTACAAAGAGGTTATATGTGGTGTTTGTTCACTTGTACACAGTGACTCAGCCGTGACTCAGCCCCCGGGTAGTGTTTCTGAAGTTTCGTCAGACCTTAGGTGTGAAACAGCTCAGTCCAGGAGAGCCCACAGCATGTGCCCTGTGCCTGCTCCACACCAGCTGCTCTCCCCGGGGTTTAGAAGAAGCAAGCTGCATGCGCTTGCTTGATGGTGCTGTGACGTTAATGTGTGCTTGGAAGCGTTGTGTTTTATATCATGCTACTAAGCCTGAAAGACATTTTACACCAGTAAAATACACTTACTAGAAAGGACTGAGTGTGTGCCCAGTGTCAGGGACTGTTTGTGGTTCAGCGCGTGCTCCTTCTGTTTCCGCAGGTCCCTTGCTCCTCTGCAGACCGCTCATGTGTGCGCTTTCCCTGAGGTTCAGAATGCACGAGCCTGTGAGGAAGGTGATCTGAAATAGTTCACTTTCCCGCTGAGATACTGTACCACTTTCATGTGATCAGATTTTAATATGCTTTTAGGAAAGAATGAATTGGACCCTTACCATGCATCGTATGTAATTAGTAACTCAATGTGGAATAAGAACCAAAGCCTGCAAGCGAAAACTGATACTACCAGAAGAAAACAAGAAAAGCTTCATGTCATTAGATTTGGCAGTAATGTTGGAACAATATCAACACCAAAAACAAACACAAAAGTTTTTTTTTTTTTAAGTGTTTTCTCTTCAGTACGGGATACAGTAGCTGAGAGGATCTCCAGAGCGGAGGGAAGCCCGTCTAGGAAGGAGCTCTCTGTGCACAGTGAAGAAGCTCAGTATAACAACTAGTCTTAAAATGGAGGAGCGGGGCCAAGGTCGCACATGCCTGCAGTTCAGCCACTCTGGAGTTCGAGGGCTTCGAGGGCAGTTTAGTGCCAGAAGAGCAAGCATCCAGGTGTCCAGTGGGAGGGTACCCAGCGTCATTTGTCATTAGAGCAGTCAAACGCAGGGCAATGAAATCCTTCCACCTTTGGATGGATGCTGTTTAAGAGAAGGAGGGGAGGGAGTATTGGTGAGGACATGGGAGATAGGGGAATCTTTCTCTTCTCTTGGAAGGTAGGATGATGCTACCTTTATAAAAAGACATATCCCAGCACCCATGAGGCAGAGGCAGGTGAATCTCAAAGTTCAAGGCCAGCCTGGTCTACATAGTGAGTACCAGAGTAGCCAGGGCTACATAAAAACCCTGTCTCAAAAAGGAAAAAAAAAAAAAGGAGAAAAAGGAGAAGAAAAAGAAAAAAGGTACTGGAGAGATGGCTCAGCAGTTAAAAGCACGGCTACTCTTCTAGAGAACCTGGGTTCAATTCTCAGCCCCACGTGACAGCTCACAGCTGTCTGTAACTCCAGTTCTAGGGGATCTGATGCCCTCACAAAGACATATGTGTAGGCAAAACACCAATACACATAAAATATAAGTAAATAAATCATTAAAAATAGTTTCAAAAAATTAAACACAAAAGACTCACTTATGATGCAGCAGTCCGCTTCTGGGTAGATATCCAAAGGAACTGTGTGAAGAGTCTCATATTTATACACGTTCACAGCACCTTAGTGGTCAAAAGGGGCAAGCGTTCGAAGTGTCATCGAAGTTCGAAGTTCGCAGGTAACTGGCAGACATTGTGTGCGGCCTGACTTGGTCTTAAAGGAGAAGAAAAGTCTGGCACATACTACACCGGTGATCAACCCCAAAGATATTATGCTACATGAACTACTCCGGTCACAAAAATGGACACTTTGTGACTCCGTTTGTATTAAGTATTTATAGAGTGGCCCATCCCAAAGAACAGAAAAAGTGATTGCTGGTGACTGAGGGGAGGGGAAGTGGGGTGTGTAATCCAGGTGTAAAGTTTGAGATGGGCAAAATGTGAGCATTCTGGAGCTGAGCCGCACAGCCTAGCAGGTGTCGTCACACCAAGTGCACCCCGAAAATGCTTAAGATTAAATAACTGTTTAATGCAGTTAAACATGTTTGGAGTCAGCACAGGAGTTATGCATGTGCAGTAAGAATCATTAAAGTAGGCAGTTATTAATAAAGCAGTCTGTATTATAAAAGAAAGTGTCTGTGATTAA